TTGTGAAATTTACATCGCGTAATGGTCTGAAAATATTACAAAATCAATTAGGTATAAATCGAGAGGAAATAACCCAGTAAAGCCTTTTAAGTTGTGTACAGGCTACTTTTGGCGTACTTGAAAGCTCAGTCATACAAATAATACTGGAAATAAGCCCGGTGGAGATCATTGTACTGTCTGGGGTTGATTTAATGACAAATGAGTCCGCGCGACTCATGCTGTGTGGCTACTGTGTTGCTCAAAGACTTTGTTTTGCTTTTACAAGCACGTATTTCAGTGATTTTCCTTTTCTATAACAGATCTGGGGTGGCTCCTTGAATATATCGCTGAGCATTTGTCTTTAAAAGTGCCATTTGTGCGTAATTATGCTTTCCAAAGTTTGGTATTGACGGTTGAGTGAAATTGCCCGACACAAACGGCAGGTATATTTTGCAGGTTGCAGGTTGCAGGTTGCAGGTTAAAATTTTAAAATTATGACTGGAAAACCGCTGGCACTTAAAAGAAACCTACCGGTAGCAGACTTATTGCGACTGTTAGATGACGCTGTTTACAATCGCTCAGTAAGGAGGCTTCCACTTAAGTGCCAAACCGGCTGATCGAAGCGATGGGAGGAAGGTATATTCCTATGATTTTAAGCCTGCAATGAATTATTGTTTTTAAAAAAACATCTGAAATATCAACTGAAATATCTGCTGAATTTGGTTTCTTTCCTGTGAGTACCAAAATGAAAGCACACTGGGCTTGTTCTCGTATATTCCGTCGGTTAAAATCTTATATTATTTCATTTCTTTATTTATTGCTTTATTTGCTTCATTTGTGATGGCAATCTTCTGTTGTTGAGGGAAGACCCGAGCCAAATCTGGAATCGATGGAAACATCTGTGGAGCGGCCATCCAGATGGCTTTGAAGAGTTTTCACTGGTCTAAGCGTGTCGATCGATAAGTACTTATAGTGAATCGGATGGAGCGCGGATCGATCGTGTTTTCACTATCTGAAAGAGGCGAACTACTTTATGTAAGAACCCCTGACGAGTATATAGGTTCTTAATTATTTTTAGTGCAGCGGTTTTCCAGTTATAATTAAATTTCAACCTGCAACCTGCAACCTGCCACCTGCAAAATATACCTGCCGCGACGCAAAAGGTAATAGCTCCTTCTGCAATTGTCGATTCCTGTTTTAGAGCTTCTTTTCTGTCTTTGTATTTAACTTCTCGGAGGGTCTTTTCCACCATTTGTTCTGGGTAGCCTCTCGAGATCAGGCGTGTATTGAAATTTTCAATATCCTCTTCAATGTATTTCAGAATCAACCTCACTCAAGCAAAATGGAGTTTATCGGTAAATTTTATCACTTATTTCACGGTTGTTCAAACAAAAAATTACATTTTCTACGTATCAAAAATTGCCAAAATCCATTCGCGATAAAACAACGGCGAAAAAGCGTTGATCTCTCCCCAAAACCATGTTTTTGGGCGTCGAAACAACTTTCGCCATACATTTTCTTCTAGCGACTTGCAATGTTTGTCCCCTGACGATCCCAGAATTCTTTGCGCAAACACGGGTATCCGATTGCTGGCAACTCATTCATTATGACGCTCCGATTACGTCTCAAGTTTCGAGTAACGTCGTTAACCATTAACTCTCATAGGGGGAGAAATTCTCAGGTTTCATAACGGCCGTGTGTCAAAGGAGAAAAGAGACGAAAGACTATAATTTTTTTTAAATCTATGTTTAAAGCAAAACTGTAAACTTTTTGGATTTTAACTAATTTTAATGAATTTTAAACTTGTACATTTTCTGTACATTTAGTTAGCTATTTTAATGATTAGGCTGTTTTTAAATTAAGTAATTAATTAATTATATTTTTTTTAGGGCCCCCTGAAAACCGCCGTGGCTAGGTGGGTTCCCTCGTTAAATATAATTATTATTACTATTATTATTACTAATATTATTATTACTAATATTATTATTGTTATTATTATTATTATTATTATTATTACTTTAAATGGCAGTAGGGTTTTGTAAGATAACCACAACGACCGCCGAGCACTGAATGTTTAAATTCTGTGCCTGCGGGGCAGTTTCCATGAACAACAGATTGGCTATTGTTACACCGATAGTAACGAAAACAACTGTTCGGGTCGAGCCAGAAATCACCATTTCCCAAGGGACACTGGAAGGCACCTAGAAAAGATACAAAGATACAAAAGTTCAGCGTGTAAGTTGTAGCTGGTTAAAGACTCCTTATGGAAGCTGCCACGCTAAAATCCCCGGTTTCGGGCGAATCGATTTACCGTACCTTAATCCATCATTCTACTGGAAGGCGCAGTGACTTCATGGTTAGTGCGTTCGTTTCCGGATCGAGCGGTCCGGGTTCGAGCCCTGGCCGGGGACATTGTGTTGTGTTCTTGGGCAAGACACTTTACTCTCACAGTGCCTCTCTCCACCCAGGTGTATAAATGGGTACCGGCGAATTTAATGCTGGGGGTAACCCTGCGATGGACTAGCATCCCATCCAGGGGGGAGTAGAAATACTCCCAGTCGCTCATGCCACAGAAACCGGGATAAGCTCCGGCCTGGTGGGCCACTTGGCTCGTATGCAGACTTTCTTCCTCATCCATCACTCTAAGTTATTGTTATTTTAACACTTACATTTTAGCGCTTGTATTTACATATTTTATCGTTGGACATTCTCACGCCCTAATTTGTACTTATCTATGCATATTTCATTCGCGTTTTCTACAACTTGAAAATGATCTCAGAGAGATCGAAACGTCGTTTTTTATCGCTAGTTTTTATTCTGAAATATACTCTTATTGATGATAAAAATGAGCAAATCAGCGCGCGAGAATTGCACAGTTATTGTAAAATTACATAAGGAACTCGCGATTCTAGGCATACGGATAAACGTAACGGATATAAGGAAGTCAGGCTTTCTTTGACGATCCAAACGTTGTATTAGAACGCCTTGTATAATTCCTCTCAACTTGGTCTTTCAAACGGTCGGTTTTTAACAAGTGTATTGGCCAGTCAGTTTCAGCGCAATCATTAAGACTTGTTGCACCCGGAAAACAAAATCACCTTTCTCAAGGTGCGTATTTCTTGTAATCCCGTCAATTATTTCAGCTGTGCTACTTTTCTTCTCGGATATACTTTTAAAATTACAAAACAGGAGGAATACTTACTTCCATCACTTGTCGCTACAACAATAGGATCACTGGCAGGTCCAGGTCCCTCGTTGTTAGAGGCCAGAACTGTAATGGTGTAGCTTGTATTCTTTGAAAGATGAATGAGGTTTGCAAAACGTGTGGGAGCATGTAAAACCATTTTTTGGTGTGGTTCTGAAGACGTGTCGGAATGGTAACTGATGGTATAACTCGTGATACCGCCATTTCGATGGTCCTGTGGCACTTCATCCCACTTGACACCGATGCTGTGCATAGTTCTGTTAACTGCTCTAAGAGAGTTAGGAGGGGCACTGGGTCCTGTGGGAAGTAAACATAATATTTAACCGGCCGCGCCATTGGAAGGTACACTGTTTTTCGTATTACTGATAATCATTCTTTAAAACTTTGTATTAACCAACCAAAACCATGTAGGGCCGCATAAATTGCAACAAATCTTAAACGCCAGTTAACAATGGTTCTTTTGAAAAGAAAGTTCCGCTCGAACTTATCGGCTACCAAGCGTTCTTTTTTTTGACGAAGCCCGTTCGACGAACTGAAAAGAACGCCTGATCGCAGGTTACACTTGAATCAGTATAAAGTGATGATATTTGAAAGGAAAACTTCTGACTTCCATTAATTAGTCATTGTAAACGGAAATTAAGCGATAATTCTGTTCGTATTACTTTGAGTTTACACCACATTAGCGGCTGTTTGCTACGATTTAAAATTGTTAGGAGACTCTCCGATGTTTTACGCAACAGACGAAATCTGTAGAAGTCTGTTTTTTTGTCGTTTGCACCCACTTGCATATATTCCTGAATTACGCAAAACTTACAGAAGGTTAAGTTAAGATCAACCTTTACTGAATTTTTCCTTTTTCGTTAACACACTTATTCAATTGTCTATCACAACACCTTGTTCTCACGTTTATGGTAAACTCAGTTTTCACGGGAACCTTACCGTCACAAGAATGAACATTGCATTCTCCAGTCTCTTCCGTGTTTCCTTCACAGGATGCCGTGGAACAAGTACGAGTCCTCATCCTGATACCTCCTCCACAAGTCGCAGAGCACTCGCCCCAGGTCCCATAATGTGACCTACTGCCTTGAACTGGTTCTTGGGTATTTCCTGCTAAGCAATTCCAACAAATTTAAAATCAGTAAATACTAAAATTGTTCGTATACCGTAAAATTCCACGTTAAAGCTCCCTGATTATAAGCCCTCCCGGATATAAGCCCTTCTATTTGCTAACAAAGATATTATTCCGGATATAAGCCCCCCCGGCTATGAGCCCATCTAATGTATAAGCGGGTTCCTATTGCGTTTTATAAATACAAATCTAATAGCTCTAAATGTAATCGTATGTTAGCTTTAATTCTCAGATATGTTTTATATCGTCGTTCCGAAACATTCTTCTATTTCGCTTATATTTTCCCCCCGGATAGAAGCCCCCCTCCCCCCGCTTATAAGCCCACCCAAAACCCCTTATGAAGTTATATAAACCCAGGGCTTTAATGTGGGATTTTACGGTACCGCTTAATTAGATATCATGAAACCCCTATATCAAATTAAAGCTTTTAGGATTTTTAGAGATGACTATCAAACTATACCAAGAATTCTGACATAAAATGAATTGTTGAATATTTCATGACCGAATTAACCACGTGAATTTTGAAGGCTACAAGTCAAAGCGAATTTTGGTAATATCAGGAGCCATAATCGGGGACGGAGACCGTAAGCGCGCGCCATTTCTAGTATTGGGGTTGTCCCCATGATATGGGACAATAATTCTATTTTTA